TCTCTCTCTCTCTCTCTCTCTCTCTCTCTCTCTCTCTCTCTCTCTCTCTTTCTCTCTTTCTTTCATGCCTGTATGAGGATGTCAGATCCCCTGGAGCTGGGGTTACAGTCAGTTGTGAGCTGCCATGTGGGTGCTGGGGATTGAACCCAGGTCCTCTGGGAGAGTAGTGCTCTTAATCAACTGAGCCATCTCCCCACCAATTTTTAAAAGTAGAATCTGAAGCCAAGTTGTTGGCACCATAGTTCTAGTGATCTGTGTTAAATGACTTGTCTTATCTCCGCCCCAGTCTCCCCAGCTGTCATATGTAGTATGTAGTATAATAACACTTACTACATAGAATTTCTTGTGAGACTTAGGTTAATGCACATAAAGTGCTTAGAGCAAGTGCACAGCGTAACGTGAGAGCTGGCTGCACACTAGCCATCGTTATTAACCACCCGGGGGACCTTCAGCTGGACTCGGAGGCTGAGCATCCAGCTGGAAAGGCCTGTCTAGGAGTGTCTTCTGAATGTGATTTGCATAACGGTTGAGAGCCAGCTGACGTCAAGAGCTTCTTGAAGTCCTAGGTCAGCTGTAGCCTTGGAAATGGTCCCAGCTGCAAGACAGCCCCACAGCCTCCCCACCGACCCTGCTTCCTACTCCACTGCTAAAACAGCAGGAAGTGAAACAGTCCTGGGCCTACAGCTTGCCCCATCCGCCTCATCCCACCTCCCTTTCCTCATCTTTCCTTCACCTTTCAGCTCTTTTTAGGACTCTCAGGACATCCATCAGAGGTAGCAAAAGTAGAAGAGACAGTACACAAGGTGGAGTGGACTCCCCAGACAGCCTCTCAATTTCCTTATTCCATTTCTATCCATCCTACGTAGACGAACCATCTCTCCCCCAAAGTGAGTCAATCCTACAGTGCTGGCAATGTCTCATCTAAAGGTAGGTATACCTGCCACAGCATCCTAATGACATGTGAGCCAGACGTCTCACTGGCGGCTAAAACAGTCCTGAAGGGTCCTTGCTTCCACACGCCTTGCTAAAATTGGAAGGATACAGAGATTAGCATCCCTGTGCAAAGATAACATACCAATCCATAAAGCATTTTATATTTAAAAAATAGACTCTGGGTGGTGGCACACACCTTTAATTCCAACACTCCGGAGGTGGAGGCAGGCAGATCTCTGAGTTTGAGGCCAGCCTGGTCTACAGAGTGATTTCCAGGACAGCCAGGGCTACACAGAGTTTCTATGTGTCGAACGAACAAACAAACAAACAAAAACAAACAAACCAAAAAACAAACAAAAGTCCTAAGGGAAGGGAGACTCCCATTGAGAATGTGTCTCTCAGAGGAACAGTTAACTTTGAGAGCCTTCCGTGTGGTCGTCTACAGTCTCATTCTGACGTCCAAATTGTCCTGGTCTCCTCCGTGGGGCTGGGGCAATTCCAGCTCCAGACCACCCTCCCCTCCCACGTCCAACCTCACGCTGTCAGTTGCTTCCCTGGATGTTGCGTCATGGACGGTGATGAAATCAGCCATCAGTGGATTTTACCCGTGGATGCAATAGGCTGCGAACCCAGCACGGATCACTGCCACTGCACCTTCAACTGCCTAGAACTTGTAGCGACACTGTTTCAGCCATGGGGTAGGACGGGGTGGGGGTGGAACGTCGAAGTTGGATTTGCAGTACTTGTTTCCACTGGTTCTCTGAAAAATCATTGCCTCAATCCCACAGAACCGATGACAACCTCAGGCTAAGTGGAATGAGAAGTCAAGCAGTTCTTAGTCAACATTATAACCCCAAAGTACCCTTCCCACAATGAGGGCTGGCACAGTAATGTCTTACCCTGCCCTGAAAAGACATCTCAGGTCACAAAGTACTTTCATGGTTACTGTTGCCTCCAAAAGCAGGACCTCCCAGTAAAAAAGATACTCTTTCCCACGGTGGAAAAGAAGGGCTTTGTTCTCACGTAGATGGTATCACACAGGAACCAAAGTTCATTTCAAACTGAGCTCACCATGGGATTTGGCGATGAATGAATGCTGTTTTGGTTTTTCCTTGGGCAAGAGGAAGTGAGGAAATCAGAGTGGGATGAGGTAAGAATAATGCCTTGAGAGGCAAAAATATCAGACAGATTGCACGGGAAGGAACTGGAGACGGCATGAATTAAAATATTCGTTCCTTCCCCGCCCCGGCTGCAGCTATCTCTGTTCCTGGAGAGCGTGACACATGTCCCATCCTCGGCCTCCAGCCACAGCAACCTCAACACTCATTTCCCCTGGAACCAAGGAGCTGTACCTGGGCTCTCCACAGAGGGAGATGATGCAGGGAGGGGAATCCCACCTGCTCTGAGTCACCTGCTAGTGTAAAGGGCGGGTCTCACAACTCAGGGACCTTAAAAAGAGACTGCGAGACAAAGGGAAGAAAACAGGAAGCATCTTAGAAACCGGACTACAAGAGTCAGAACAAAGGGAGGCGGGTGGAGAGTCCACCAGGCCTGGTGCAGGTCACAGAACCAGCCGGATTTGAGACGCAGACAAGAAGATGCTGGGTTGTAGAGCCATACTACTGCTGTGGCTGCTGCCCTGGGCGGCGCAAGGCCTGGCGGTGCCTAGGAGCAGCAGCCCTGACTGGGCACAGTGCCAGCAGCTCTCTCAGAACCTCTGCACACTGGCCTGGAGTGCACATCCTCGAGAGGGACCCTTGGTAAGTGTGAGCTCCTGCAGCCATGCAGAAACCCTCTCAGTGTGAAGTGTGATGTAAGCTGGGGCCCTGGGTGGACTCTGGAGGGCTGAAGGTCATCACAGAATGAGAAAGGACAGAAGATGAACTTTGGGGAGAGCCTAAGAGTCCGCTGGACTGCAAAAGTACTTGTGTTGCCGGGCAGTGGTGGCACACACCTTTAATCTCAGCACTCAAGAAGCTGGGGCAGGCAGATCTCTGTGAGTTCGAGGCCAGCCTGGTCTACAGAGTGAGTTCAAGGACAGGCTCCAAAACTGCACAGAAACCCTGTCTCAAAAAAGCAAAACAACAACAAAACCCAAAACCTTATCTCATCCTCCCTCGGCCCCATTCCAGGATCTGCTAAGAGAAGAAGGAGGTGAAGAGGCTAGAAATGACGTCCCGCACATCCAGTGTGGGGACGGCTGTGATCCCCAAGGACTCAAGGACAACAGCCAGGTACCATCCAAATGATGTTAGTACATCTAGGGCAGGGGGAGGAATGAGCTGGCATCATATCGACCCTTCGCTATGCCTGAGACAGTAAAGAACTGCCGTGGGCTTGAAGCCGGCCTGAGCTCCATGGAGTAGGTTTAAGGCCACAGCCTGAGCTAGTGAGATGCTGTCTAAAGAAGAGGAAGAAAAGAAGGCAGGGCACTGGAAAAGAGTATCCATATGCTTTCATTGCTTCCTTCTTTCCCTAGTTCTGCCTGCAAAGAATCCACCAAGGTCTGGTTTTTTATAAGCAGCTGCTGGACTCAGACATCTTCACAGGGGAGCCTTCTCCACTCCCTGATGTGGGCCAGCTTCATACCTCCCTACTGGGCCTCAGCCAACTCCTCCAGGTATGACCCAGGGATCTGGAGGATGGGACTAGCCAGTGTCCGAGATGGAAGCTGGGAGCTTAGTATTTGAGTCCGTTCTGACTGTGTCTTGTATCCTTTTAGCCAGAGGATCAGCGCTGGGAGACTCAACAGATGCCTAGCCTGAGTCCCAGCCAGCAGTGGCAGCGTCCCCTTCTCCGCTCCAAGATCCTCCGAAGCTTCCAGGCCTTTGTGGCAACAGCTGCCCGGGTCTTTGCCCATGGAGCAGCCACCCTAGCTGAGCCCTTAAAGCCAACAGTTTAAGTATGGCACCCAGGTTCCCAGCAATGATAAGATCAATCTACCAATCCAGGCATCTATAAGCCAACAAGCTAACTGACCCATTAGTACTTTTGGTTGTTGTTTTGTTTTGTTTGAAGGGCAAGGACAACTTTACTAAAGGGGAGGGGGACCAGAACAGGTGGCTCCCTAGAGGAAGGAGATGGAGATGAGGAATAAAGACATGGCCTTTGCCATGGAAGCTGGCAAGCAACCGTATGGTGGAAGGGGTGGGAGCATGTCAGGGAAGCAATGAGAAAGACCAGAGCACCAGAAAAAGTGAGCCCAAGCTTTACCCAGATGGAAGCTCGGTACCTGCCTGCTTAGTCCCTGAAGACTGCAGACGGCCAACGTGGACTGACTGTGGTTTCACCTGGGGCAAAGCTGCACTGCAGACGGCCAACGTGGACTGACTGTGGTTTCACCTGGGGCAAAGCTGCATATTTATTAATCTGGAAGGGAGATTTTGGTATTTATCCTTGTGAAAGAAGTTTACAGGATTGTTATTTATTTTATTTATAAGGAATTATGTATTTTTTCCAATAAAGACTTATTTATGTGGCTCTCTGAGTCTAATTTCTCTTTCTTCCTTCCTTCCTTCCTTCCTTCCTTCCTTCCTTCCTTCCTTTCTTTCTTTCTTTCTTTCTTTCTTTCTTTGCCACGGACTGGTTCAGGGGAGCCACTCAGACTGTGGGAGAAGCAGGGTCTTGGTAACAGGAAGGCACAAGTTCGGCGAATGACAGGCAGACACAACTATAATGAGGTTTGAATCTGCTGCAATTTTACTAAAATTCAAGCATAACTTTTATGGGATTACAGAAGGAAGTTGGCAAACATAAAAGCTTACATAAAAAATGATTAGAGGCTGTTGATTATTCTCAGCAAGTCTTGTGGTCAGGGTCAGGTGGGCAGAGCTTGTCTTTGAAATTCGTCTCACACCACTAACCAACTGCGCTTTCTCATGGTCCTAGATCATATCTGCCCTCAAGGTAACCCAAATACTATTCTTCAGGATTCCACTCCCAGGGTTTGCTCCAATATTGGCTTCATGTTGTCAAGAATAGCCTGCCTCTCTTTCCTATCTAAAATGCACCAGGGGCTTCTCATTCTGGCTAGCCTCTCCATAAATGTTAACTCACGCCACTCCATACGTTCTCCTTCATAATTTACCCATCTTCTACCATCATGAGCTCTTTCTGCTCTAGGGTATCCATAAATTCCCCCAGAGAGCGAGCCGGAGTCTTAATAACATTAATGGCCTGAATCAAGGGAAGGGACTGACGCATCAGTTCCTCCATATCCAAGGAGCCTTTGGGAATGTTTCCTGGTTCCTTGAACAGATTAGGTTTTTGTCAAGAGAAAAGTAGAACAGAAGAAGAAGATAGCAGAGCCAAAGCAAGAAACCATCGCCAGGAACAAAGTGAACGCGGTCGTTGAGGCTGATCAGCCACCACAACTCGAGCAGGCAGCCAGGGGGCCGCCGGGGGCCAAGCTCCAGGAAGCAGGAGCCCTCATTTTGAGACGGCCACCACCTGAGAGGCATCTTGTCACACAGGCGAGACAGCCGTGGATGTGGCCTTTCTTTTCTTCCTTCCTTCTTTCCTTCCTTCCTTCCTTCCTTCCTTCCTTCCTTCCTTCCTTCCTTCCTTTCTTTCTGATTTTTCGAGACAGGGGTTCTCTGTGTAACAGCCCTGGCTGTCCTGGAACACACTCTGTAGACCAGGCTAGACTCGAACTCACAGAGATCCGCCTGCCTCTGTCTCCCCAGTGCTGGGATTAAAGGCATGCACCATCACCACCCAGCTTTCTTGACTCTACTTTCTTTTTTTTAAATTTATTTATTCTTATTTAATATGCATTGGTGTTTTGCCATGGGTGTCAGGTCCCCTGAAACTGGAGTTATAGACAGTTGTGAGCTGTCATGTGGGTGCTAGGAATTGAACTCTGGTCCTCTGGAAGAGCAGTCAGTGCTCTTTTTTTATACATTTTTTAAAATAATAATGTTAATTAATACAATGAAAGGAAAGGGAAGCCACAATCTGAAGAGGAACCAATGAATATCCAACCATTTCTAGATTAAAGGCAAATATTAACGTGACCGCTTTTATAAGATTTAACCACAGTCTGTAGAGAGCGGGCGGAGAGATTGATCAATAGTTAAGAGCACAGATTATTCTTCCAGAAGATCTTAGTTAAATTCCTAGTACCCACTTCAGGTGGCTCACAACAGCCTGTGACTTCAGTTCACAGGAGTCCGATGCCTCTAGTCCACATGCACGTGGCACACACCTTCACACACACATAGCCACACAATTAATAAAAAACAATTTTATACATTTTTATTAATATTTATTGAGCTCTACATTTTTCTCTGCTCCCCTCTCGCCTTTAGCCCTCCCCCAAGGTCCCCATGCTCCCAATTTACTCAGGAGAGCTTGTCTTTTTCTACTTTCTACTTCCCATGTAGATTAGATCTATGTATGTCTCTCTTAGTGTCCGCATTGTTGTCTAAGTTCTCTGGGATTGTGGTTTATAGGCTGGCTTTCTTTGCTTTATATTTAAAAACCACCTATTAGTGAGTACATGTGATAATTGTCTTTCTGTATCTGGGTTACCTCACTCAAAGTAGTGTTTTCTAGTTCCATTCATTTTCCTGCAAAATTCAAGCTATCTTATTTTTTTCTGCTGTGTAGTACTCCATTGTGTAAATGTATCACTTTTTTTTTTAATCCATTCTTCGATCGAGGGGCATTTAGGTTGTTTCCAGGTTCTGGCTATGGCAAACAAAGCTGCTATGAACATAGTTGAGCACATGTCCTTGTGGCATGATTGAGCATCCTTTGGATATATACCCAAAAGTGGTATTACTGGGTCTAGAGGAAGTTTGTTTCCTACTTCTCTGAGAAATCGCCACACTGACATCCAAAGGGGTTGTACCAGCTTGCATTCCCACCAGCAATGCAGAAGTGTTCCCTTTTCCCTACAACCTCTCCAGCATAAGTTGTCATCAGTGGTTTTGATCTTGGCCATTCTTACAAGTGTAAGATAGAATCTCAGAGTAATTTTGATTTGCATTTTTCTGATGACTAAGGATGTTGAACATTTCCTTAAGTGTCTTTCAGCAATTTTAGATTCCTCTGTTGAGAATTCTCTCTTTATATCTGTACTCCATTTTTAAAATTGGATTATGTGATCTTTTGGTGTCCAATTTCTTGAGTTCTTTGTATATTTTGAGATCAGACCTCTGTCTGATGTGGGGTTAGTGAAGATCTTTTCCTATTCTGTAGGCTGTCGTTTTGTCTTGTAGACCATGTCCTTTGCTTTACAGAAGCTTTTCAGTTTCAGGAGGTCCCATTTATTAATTGTTTCTCTCAGTGTCTGTGCTGCGGGGGTTCGATTTAGGAAGTGGTTACCTGTGCCAATGCGTTCAAGTGTACTTCCACTTTCTCTTCTATAAAGTTCAGTGTGACTGGCTTTATGTTGAGGTCTTTGATCCATTTGGACTTGAGTTTTGTGTATGGTGATAGATATGGGTCTATTTTCATTCTTCTGCATGTTGATATCCAGTTATGACAGCACCACTTGTTAAATATGCTTTCTATTTTACATTTGATATCTTTTGCTTCTTAATCAAAGATCAGGTGTTCGAAGATGTGTGGATTGATATTCGGGTCTTCTATTCAGTTCCATTGGTCCTCCTGTCTGTTCTTTTGCCAGTACCAGGCTGTTTTCAGTACTGTAGCTCTGTAGTAGAGTTTGAAGTCAGGGATTGTGATGCCTCCAGAAGTTCTTTTATTGTACAGGATTGTTTTGGTTATTCTGGGTTTTTTTGCTTTTCCATATGAAGTTGAGTACCATTCTTTCAAGGTCTTTGAAGAATTTTGGTGGGATTTTGATGGGCATTGCCTTGAATCTGTAGATTGCTTTTGGTAAGACTGGCATTTTTACTATGTTAATTCTGCCTACCCATGAGCATGGGAGAGCTTTCCACTTTCTGGTGTCTTCAATTTCTTTCTTCAAAGATTTAAAGTTCTTGTCATACACGTGTTCCATTTGTTTGGTTAGAGTTACTCTGAGATAGTTTATGCTATTTGTGGCTATTGTGAAGGGTGTTGATTCTCTGACTTCTTCCCCAGCCCTTTTATCATCTGTATACAGGAAGGCTACTGATTTTTTTTTTTGAGTTAATCTTGTATCCTGCTACATTGCTGAAAGTGTTTATGAGTTGTAGAAGTTTCTTGGTAGAATTTTTGGGACCACTTATGTAAACTATCATATCATCTGCAATCAGTTAGAGTTTGACTTCTTCTTTTCTGCTTTGTATCCCCTTGATCTCCCTTTGGTGTCTTATTGCTCTAGCTAGGACCTCAAGAACTATATTGAATTGATATGGAGAGAGTGGACAACCTTGTCTTGTTCCTGATTTAGTGGAATCGCTGGGAGCTTCTCTCCATTTAGTTTGATGTTAGCTGTTGGCTTGCTGTATATTGCCTTAATTATGTTTAGGTATAGTCCTTGTATCCCTGCTCTCTCCAAGACCTTTATCATGAAGGGATGTTGTATTTTGTCGAAAGCTTTTTCGGCATCATGTGGTTTTTATTTTTCAGCTTGTTTACATGGTGGATTATGTTGACAGAGTTTCATATGTTGAACCATCCTTGTATCTGTGGGATGAAGCTGACTTGATCATGGTGGATGATGGTTCTGATGTGTTTTTGGATTCGATTTGTTAGTATTTTATTTAGTATTTTTGCATCAATGTTCACGAGTAAAATTGGTCTGTAATTCTCTTTCTTAGTAAAGTCTTTCTGTGGTTTGGGTATCAGGGTAATTGTAACCTCATAAAAAGAGTTTGGCAACATTCCCTCTGTTTCTATTGTGTGGGATAATTTGAGGAGTATTGGTATTAGTTCCTCTTTGAAAGTCTTGTAGAATTCTGAGCTGAAACCATCTGGTCCTGGGCTTTTTTTCGTTGGGAGACTTTTGATGACTGTTTCTATTTCTTCAGCAGTTATAAGTCTGTTTAATTGTTTATCTAGTCTTGATTTAATTTTGGTAAGTGATATTTACCCAGAAAGTTGTCCATTTCCTTTAAGTTTTCCAATTTTGTGGAGTACTGGTTTTCAAAATATGACCTGATGATCCTCTGCATTTCCTCCATGTCTGCTGTTATGTTCCCCTTTTCATTTCTGATTTTGTTTTTTTTAATGGTGAGTAATTTTTTATATTTATTTATTTATTATGTATACAATATTCTGTCTGTATGTCTGCAGGCCAGAAGAGGGCACTAGACCTCATTACAGATGGTTGTGAGCCACCATGTGGTTGCTGGGAATTGAACGCAGGACCTTTGGAAGAGCAGGCAATGCTCTTAACCGCTGAGCCATCTCTCCAGTACCCTCATTTCTGATTTTGTTAATTTGGATACTCTCTCCCTGCCTTTTGTTTAGTTTGGATAAAGGTTTGTCTATTTTGTTGATATTCTCGAAGAACCAACTCTGTCTCATTGATTCATTGTATTGTTTTGTTTCTATTTTGTTGATTTTACCTCTCACTTTGATTA